TGTTTTTGAGACAGAATCTCACTCTGTTGCCCAGACTGGAGTGCAGTGGTGCGATCTCAGCTCACTGCAACCTCTACCTCCCGAGTTTAAGCAATTCTCCTGCCTCAGCCTCCTGAGTAGCTGGGATTACCATGCCCGGCTAATTTTTGTATTTTTAGTAGAGATAGGGTTCTCATCACGTTGACCAGGCTGGTCTCGAACCCCTGGCCTCAGGTGATCCGCTCACCTTGGCCTCCCAAAGTGCTGGGATTGCAGGTGTGAACCACTGTGCCTGGCGTGTTTTTTTTTTTTTTTCTTGGTGTTAATGATTTCACTCTCAGTAATTCTTTCTCAGTCATGCGTGGTGGCTCAGGCCTGTAATCTCAGCACTTTGGAAGGCTGAGGCTGGAGGATTGCTTGAGCCCAGGAGTTTGAGACCAGCCTGGGCAACATAGTGAGACCCAGTTTCAAATTAAAAAAGTTATCTCATCCTCAGAACATGGTGTTTGCACAGCCTCCTGCTTCTGTGCTATGGATGTGAGGTCTACCCATGTCTTTTAACACTGACCGCTAGAATTCTTCTGAAAGTATCTTGTTTCCTGCCAGAGTTCTGCCTTACTGGGTGCTAGCACTCTGCTTCCTCAACTCTGTAAATTATTTTTCATCTGTTGTAACTGTTGTAACGAGTTCCTCTTGCTGGCTGCCTGGATGAAGCCCATTCATCAGGACAGAGGAATTGCAAGAAGGAGTTCAACACACATTGAGTGGGGTAAGCGGGAGACCAGAGTTTTGTTTTTGTTTTTTTTTTTTTTTTGAGATGGAGTCTTACTCTGTCGCCCAGGCTGGAGTGCAGTGGCGTGATCTCGGCTCACTGAAACCTCTGCCTCCCAGGTTCAAGGGATTCTTCTGCCTCAGCCTCCCGAGTAGCTGGGACTACCTGTGCGCCACCATGCCCAGCTAATTTTTATGTTTTTAGTAGAGATGGGGTTTTACCATATTGGCCAGGCTGGTCTCCGACTCCTGACCTCGTGATCTGCCCGCCTCGGCCTCCCAAAGTGCTGGGATTACAGGCATTGAGCCACTGCACCTGGCCAATCAGAGTTTTATTATTACTCAAATCAGCCTCCCTGAAAATCTGCAGGCTAGGGTTTTGTTTGTTTGTTTTTCTTTGAGATGGAGTCTCACTCTATCACCTGAGCTGGAGTGTAGTGGCACAATCTGGGCTCACTGCAGCCTCCACCCCCCAACCCCAGGCCCGGGTCAAGCGATTCTCCTGCCTCAGCCTCCGGAGTAGCTGGGATTACAGGCACCCGCCACCACACCCGGCTACTTTTTTTGTATTTTTAGTAGACATGGGGTTTTGCTATGTTGCCCAGGCTGCTCTCGAACTCCTGGCCTCAAGCAATCCTCCCACTTCAGCCTCCCACAGTACTGGGATTACAGGTGTGAGCCACTGTGCCCGGCCTCAACTCAAACTTTCTCAAGTGCTCTGCCTGCACAGCAGTGTGTGCTGCAAGGATGCTGATCCAGCCACGGAATTCGGGGCTCTGTGGAGCTCCTTCCGTCTCACGTGATGCCCCTAAGACTATTCCTTAATATAAGGATGGGGAAGGAGAAAAGGCAATGTGGGAAGGTGGAAATGGGATAAAGAGCAAATAAACGAAGGAAGAGAGCTAAGGTGGAGTGAATGTCAAGGAAGGAAGATAAAGGAACTCCCACTACAACTCATTAGGATTCCATGTTTTGGCCAGGTGCGGTGGCTCATGCCTGTCATCCCAGCACTTTGGGAGGCTGAGGCAGGTGAATCATTTGAGGCCAGTTCGAAATCAGTTTGGCCAACATGAAGAAAACCCATCTCTACTAAAAATATCAAAATTAGCCGGGCGTGGTGACAGGTGCCTGTAATCCCAGCTATTCGGGAGGCTGAGGCAGGAGAATCGCTTGAACCCGGGAGGTGGAGGTTGCAGTAAGCCAAGATTGTGCCACTGCACTCCAGCCTGAGCAACAGAGCGAGACTTGGTCTCAAAAACAACAACAACAAAGATTCCATCTTTTGTTTTCAGGGATTAAAATTTTAAAGAGTTCAATTATGGCTGGGCATGGTGGCTCATGCACTTTGGGAGGCCAGGGTGGGCAGATCACCTGAGGTCAGGAGTTCAAGACCAGCCCAACCAACATGGAGAAACCCCCCTCTCTACTAAAAATACAAAATTAGCCGGGCATGGTGGCTCATGCCTGTAATCCCAGCTACTCGGGAGGTTGAGGCAGGAGAATTGCTTGAACCCGGGAGGCAGAGGTTGCAGTGAGCTGAGATTGTGCCACTGCACTCTAGTCTGGGCAACAAGAGCAAAACTCCATCTCAAGAAAAAACAAAGTTCAATTAAAACTTTAAAGTACAGTGGACGAGTGGCTAGAAAACATTAAGTGGGTGGCCAGGTGTGGTGGTTCACACCTGTAATCCCAGCACTTTGGGAGGCTGAGGCGGGCGGATCAACTGAGGTTGGGAGTTTGAGACCAGTCTGACCAACATGGCAAAACACCGTCTCTACTAAAAATATAAAATTAACTGGGCTTGGTGGCACATGCCTATAATCCCAGCTACTTGGGAGGCTGAAGCAGGAGAATTGCTTGAACCCGGGAGGCAGAGGTTGCGGTGAGCCGAGATTGCACCATTGCACTCCAGCCTGGGCAACAAGAGCAAAACTCCGTCTCAAAAAAAAACCCCAAAACCAAAAACATTAAGTGGGTGATGACAGTCAGATTTGACGGGGCCATTTGAGAAGGAGGGATACCCTCTGAGGGTCAGTGCTGAGCCCCTTCTCACTTTCAGTTCCCCCAGGTACCACGTCAAGCAACTACACCCTGGGTAACTTCATACGACTGGGTCTGGCTGCCATAATTTTGGTTATCATGGGAGCTTTCCTGGTGGAGGCCTGGCACAGCCGAAAGGTGTCTCCAGGTGGATCTGTCAGAGACCTTCAAACCAGAGTGACTCCATCTTGAACTGGGGCTGGGTAAACTGAGGCTGCAACCTGCTGGACTGCATTCCCAGGGGGTTAAGACTTTCTAAGTCACAGGATGAGACAGGTCACAACATACAGATCACAAAGACCCTGCTGATTTAAAAAAAAAAAAAAAAAAGGGATGCAATAAAGAAGCCAGCCAAAACCTGCCAAAACCACGATGGCAACAAAAGTGACTTCTGGTTGTCCTCACTGCACATTATTTGCTAATTATAACGCATCTGCATGCTAAAAGACACTCCCACCACCACCAAGGCAGCTTATAGATGCCATAGCAACTTCTAGAAGCTAAAAGGAGGAAGAACGCTCAGTTCCAGGGAAATCCCCTCCCCTTTCCTGGAAAACTCATGAACAGTCCACCCCTTGTTTAGCATATGATCGAGAAATAACCACAAAAATCGCCGACCGACAGCCCTCTGGACTGCTCTGCCTGTGGAGCAGCCATAGTCCTTGACTTTAATAAACTTGCTTTCACTTCACTCCGTGGACTTGCCCTGAGTTCTTTCTTGTCTGAGATCCGAGAACCCTCTCTTGGGGTCTGGACTGGGACCCCTTTCCAATAACAGATCCAAGTTAAAACACGGAGCCCCTCTCTCTTTCATGGGCTGCTGTAGGGATAGGGAATTCTCTTCTGCTCTAGATGTATTGAGATCTAATCGACAAATAAAAATGGAATTATATTTGTGTACAACGTGATGTGTTGATATATTCCATTTTGATTTGTCAATTATACCCCCATAAACCTACGAGTGGGGAACCCTCCTACTAAGTAATTTATTGTGTGCCAAGGAAGAAATTTCACTAATTGTGATGTGATTATCACAATGTTAACTAATGGACTTTTTAAGATCCACCTTCTGGGACCTTTCCTACTAAATAATTTATTTTGTACCAAGGAAGAAATTTCACTAATTGTGACATGATTATCACAATGTAGCTAATGGACCTTTCTGTTTAAGATCCACCTTCTGGGAACTTTCCTACAAACCAAGTAATTAATTGTGTACCAAGGAAGAAATTTCACTAATTGTAACGTGATTATCTCAATCTAGCTTATGGACCTTTCTGTTTAGGATCCACCTTCTTAGCAAATTGCAATTACCCAGTGCAGCCTTGTGAACTGTATCCGCCCTTGCTGTGCATTCAATCCATATGGGGTTCTTTAAACATCAGACTCTACCATGGGGACTTCACACGTTTCTCCACATGGGCACAAATGGTATTTTTTGTTTGTTTGTTTGTTTGTTTTGAGACAGACTCTCGTTCTGTCTTCCAGGCCAGAGTGCAGTGGCACGATCTCGGCTCATTGCAACCTCCGCCTCCTGGGTTCAAGTGATTCTCCTGCCTCAGTCTCCTGAGTAGCTGCAACTACAGGCACCTGCCACCATTCAGCCATTTTTTTTTTGTATTTTTAGTAGAGACGGAGTTTCGTCGCATTGGCCAGGCTGGTCTCGACCTCCTGGCCTCAAGCGATCCACCTGCCTCAGCCTCCCAAAGTGCTGGGATTACAGGCATGTGCCACTGCGCCTGACCACAAATCGTGTTTAAAGTGCAATAGTTCTTCACCATGTGAGACTGTCTTGTCCATTATAGGAACACATAACTCGACATTGCTAAGACTTCCTTTCCCATTGAACACCTGTTGAAGACCCAATTATTGTGAAACAAGAAAAAAAGCCACTACTGGCCTGGCGCGGTGGCTCAGGCCTGTAATCCTAGCACTTTGGGAGGCCGAGGCGGGCAGATCATGAGGTCAGGAGATCCAGACCATCCTGGCTAACACGGTGAAACCCCGTCTCTACTAAAAATACAAAAAAATTAGCCGGGCGGGGGGCGCCTGTAGTCCCAGCTACTTGGGAGGCTGAGGCAGGAGAAGGGCGTGAACCCGGGAGGCGGAGCTTGCAGTGAGCTGAGATCGCGCCACTGCACTCCAGCCTGGGCGACAGAGCAAGACTCTGTCTCAAAAAAGAAAAAAAAGAGAGAGAGATTAACCTTGTGGGGAGCTGGCTAGTGGGTACACAGGAAGCCATAGGTATTAATGCTTTAAAATAAAACATTACATTTGCAGAAGTCTTGGCAGAACTTCAGATAAGGTAGGACAGAGCTCAGGCGGGTGGGGCCACACACAGGATTCATGAGGAAGAAGTTGTCATCCACGGCTGCTTGTTTCCTGAGTCCGTTTGAGAAGGAAACTGCAAGAGTGGGGCAGAGAACCAGAGCGTCAGGGTAAAACCTCCTCCATCTGCACATCCTGGGGAGGAACCAGGCAGCCAGAGAGCTGCGGCCGCCCCAGTCCCGCTCCGCCTTTGAAGTGGTTAAAACCGAAGGCGGGGCCTTGGTTCTGGCCCAAGGGACGCTATGACCACAGAATTCCTCTCCCTGCTTTGCCTCGGTGAGTCTGCAGGACTGGGACGAATGGGCTTGGGCTGGTGCGAAAAACTCATGGGGGAGTGGAAGTCCGGGTGGAAACGCGGTGTGTGGAAGTAACGACTTCCACGCGTTGCACACCTGCGGTGGGTGGGTCTGGGCTGGGGGCGTCCCCTGCATGAGTTCGGCCGCCCACTTGCAAGTGACGAGGAGGCCGCGCTGCAGAGACACGGGGAGGCCTCTGCTTACTCCCCTGGGAAATGCAGAACTCCGGTGGGGTCTCCAAGTCTGCACTCGCTAAATACCGCAGTATTGCCATGCATCCTCCGTCGGAATAGAGGAGGGATGGGCTTAAGGATCTACAGGGTGCAAGGCTGTGGGCAAAAAGACAATTTCCTTTCCTTCCTTCTTTCCCTCCTTCTCTCTCTCTCTCTCTCTCTCTCTCTCTCTCTCTCTCTCTCTGGAAACTGCAAGAGTGGGCAGAGAACCAGAGCGTCAGGGTAAAACCTCCACATCCTGGGAGGAACCCAGCCAGAGAGCTGCGGTTGCCCGAACATGCCTCTCTCTCTCTCTCTCTCTCTCTCTCTCTCTCTCTCTCTCTCTGTATTTATTTATTTATGAGACAGAGTCTCACTCTATGGCCCAGGCTGGAGTGCAATGGTGTGATCTCGGCTCACTGCAACCTCCACCTCCCGGGTTCAAGCGATTCTCCTGCCTCAGCCTCCTGAGTAGCTGGGACTACAGGTACATGCCACCACACCCGGCTAACTTTTCTATTTTAAGTAGAGACAGGGTTTCACCATGTTGGTCATGCTGCTCTCAAGCCCCTGAACTCAGGTGATCCGCCCGCTTCAGCCTCCCAAAGTGCTGGGATTACAGGCATAAGCCACCACACCTGGCCCCAAGAGAACAATTTTCTGACCTGTCCGATTCTTAGGCTGATTTTAACCATCCTCAAATTGAACCTGATGTATTCAGACAGAGCTCAGACTGTGAAAAGGAAGACCTGGGTTACAGTGTGGGCTTCACTACCTAGGAGCTCTAGGCCTGACCCAGCAGAGCTGCACCTCCCTAAGGCCCCAGTTCCTCCCTGGTGCATGGGGGGTGTGGTGGACATCAATGCGCCTCATTTGCCTCAGTTCCTTCCCCCTTTTCTGGGTGCAGCCCTTCCCTGTGGGGTAATGCCCCTCTTGCACACACATTTGCACCTTAGATGAGCCTTTTTTTTTTTTTGCCTTTTTTTTTTTTTTTTAAGACAGTCTTGCTTTGTCTCCCAGGCTGGAGTGCAATGGTGTGATCTCGGCTCACTGCAACCTCCACCTCCTGGGTTCAAGCGATTCTCCCAGCTCAGCCTCCTGAGAAGCTGGGATTACAGGTGCGCACCACCACGCCTGGCTAATTTTTTGTATTTTTAGTAGAGACAGGGTTTCACCATGTTGGCCAGCCTGGTCTCAAACTCCTGACCTCAGGTGATCCACCCACTTCAACCTCCTAAAGTGTTGGGATTACAGGCGTGAGCCACTGCACCCGGCTATTTGTGCCTTAGAGATGACCATCGGGCTCATACCCAACCCCCCAGCTGCTGAGCACAGTAAGCTGGGCAACCAGGAGGCTGACCTCATCCCCCAGTGGCTGCCATACCAAAGTACTACAAGCCTGATGGCTTAAAGCAACTAAAATGCACTCTCTTGCAGTTGGGGAGATGAGAAGTCTGAAACCAAAGTGTTGGCAATGTTGATTCCTTCTGAGGGCTATGAGGGAGAATCTGTTTTATGCCCCTCTTCTAGTGGTGGCTGACAATTCTTGGCATTCTTTTTTTTTTTTTTTTTTTTTGAGACAGAGTCTCAGTCTGTCACCCAGGCTAGAGTGCAGTGGCATGATCTCGGCTCACTTCAACCTCCACCTCCCAGGTTCAAGCAATTCTCCTGCCTTAGCCTCCCGAGTAGCCTGGATTACAGGCATGGGCCACCATGCCTGGCTAATTTTTGTATTTTTAGTAGAGACGGGGTTTCACCCTGTTGGCCAGGCTGGTCTCAAACTCCTGACCTCAGGTGATCCACCCCCTCCCCCCAGCCTCCCAAAGTGTTGAGATTACAGGCTTGAGCCACCGTGCCTGCCCGCTTGGCATTCTTTAACTTGTAGATGCATCACTCAAATTGCTGGCTTTTTTTTTTTTTTTTTAAAGACAGGGTCTCACTCAGTCACCCAGGCCGGAGTGCAGTGGTACCACCATAGCTCACTGCAGCCTCAACCTCCTGAGCTCAAGCAATCCTCCCCACAGCCTTCTGAGCCACTAGAACTACAGGTGCACACCACCATGTTGGACTAATTAAAGTAATTTCTGTTTTAGAGATGGGGTCTTGCGAGATTGCCCAGGCTAGTCTCCAATTCCTGGACTCGAGCAATCCTCCCCACTAGCCTTCTGAGTAGCTAGAACTACAAGAGTGCACCACCATCTTGGGCTAAGTAAAATAATTTCTTTTTTAGAGATAGGGTCTTGCTATATTGCCCAGGCTAGTCTTCAGCTACTGGGCTCAAGCAATCCTCCCCATTAGCCTTCTGAGCAGCTACAACTACAGGTGCACACCACCACATTGGGCTAATTAAAATATTTTTTTTTTTTTTTTGCAGAGATGGGGTCTTTCTATATTGCCAAGGCTAGTCTCCAAGTCGTGAGCTCAAGCAATTCTCCTATCTCGGCCTCCCAAAGCACTGTGATTGCAGCCTGGCCTCTCTGCCTCTGTCTTTGCATGGCCACCTTCTTTCTGTGTGTCTCTCTTTCTTTTTCTCTTCTCATAAGTTATATTGGACTAGATGCCCCGCCTACTCCAGTATGACCTCATCTTAGCTTAACTAATTACATCTGCAAAGATCAGATAATGGTATTTCCAAATAAGGTCACATTCAGAGGTCCTGGGAGTTACAACGTGAGCTTCTCTTTTCAAGAAACGCAAATCAGCTGGGTGTGGTGGCTCACACCTGTAATCTCAGGACTTTGGGAGGCCCAGGTGGGAAGATCTCTCGAGGTCAGGAGTTTGAGATCAGCCTGGCCACGTGGCGAAACCCCATCTCTACTAAAAATACAAAAAATCAGCTGGGCATGGTGGCAGGTGCCTGTAATCCCAGCTACTCGGGAGGCTGAGGCAGGAAATTCGCTGGAACCTGAGAGGCAGAGGTTACAGTGAGCTGAGAGAACACCACAGCACTCCAGCATGGGTGACAGAGGGAGATTCCATGTCAAAAAAAGAAAAAGAATATGGGAATTGGGCTGGTTGCAGGTAGCTCATGCCTGTAATCCCAGCATGTTGGAAGGCCGAGGTGGGAGAATCGCTTGAGCTCAGGTGTTCCAGACCAGCCTGGGCAACACGGTGAGTCCTCATCTCTACCAAAAAAAAAAAAAATTAAAAATTAGCTGGGACTGGTGGCACATGCCTGTAGTCCCAGTTATTTGGGAGGCTGAGACAGGCAGATCACTTGAGCCCAGGAGGTCGAGGCTGCAGCGAGCTGTGACTGCACTCCAGCACTCCAGCCTGGGCCACAGAGTGAGATCCTATCTTAAAAAGAAAAAGAATATAGGAATCACTGTTTGAACAGACGATGGATGGATAGCAGAGATGAGATGACATGAGTCTAAAAGCGGGATTTGGGGAGGGTCTCAAGAGAGAGCCTGAGTCCTGGGATGCCCTGCCATCCAGAGGCTGTTTCCTACCTGCCAATCCCAGCCAATCTCGCTGCCAACGCAGCCTCGGTCCATCGTGAGGCCTCCACCTCATTCCTTTGCGGTGAAGCTTGGTGTGGTGTCACGTTCTGCCTCGGTACCTGCGTCAACAAGGAACCAACGTCCTGAGACACTCGTGGCTCTAGAGAAATTCTACCTAACTTCACCCTGAAACAAGCCCCATGACTGATGTCCCATTTTCCACGCAAGTTTATGACGCTCCCTTCTCCACAGGGAATATAGAGAACAGAACATAGAAGAAGGAGGGGATGAGGTAAGTGGAAACCAAAGCTAAAGTGAGGGGAGTACTTGGAACCAGAAGACATGGGAAGGGGGAGCAGATTCTCTCTATTGGAATTGAGCAAGAAAACCCTCCCCTTTCCACGGGAAAATAATGTTTGCATTATTTAAGTGGCAAGGGTAAAAACTGCAATCAGGTCGGGCACGGTGGCTCATGCCTGTAATCTCAGCACTTTGGGAGGCTGAGGCAGATGGATCACTTGAGGTCAGGAGTTTGAGACCAGCCTGGGCAATATGGCGAAACCCCATCTCAACAACAACAATTAGTTGGGCATCGTGGTGCACACCTGTAGTCCCAGCTACTCTGGAGACTGAGGTATGAGAATCACTTGAACCCAGGGGGTGTAGGAGGTTGCAGTGAGCTGAGATTGCACCACCGCACTCCAGCCTGGGTGACACAGCGAGACTCTGTCTCAAAACGAAACAAAGCAAACAAAATACTGCAATCACAGAAAATACAAGAAAAAAGCATAGGTGAATGTTGAACAATTTCTAGATGGTGAAAGAATGATTACTCGTGAAAGCAATTCAATACATCAGGCCAGGTGCGGTAGCTCGTACCTGTAATCCCAGAACTTTGGGAGGCCGAGGCAGGCGGATCACCTGAGGCCAGGAGTTCAAGATCAGCCTGGCCAATATGGTGAGACTCTTGTCTCTACTAAAAATACAAAAATTAGCCAGGCATGGTGGCGGGCGCCTGTAGTCCCAGCTACTCGGGAGGCTAAGGCAGGAGAATCACTTAAACCTGGGAGGCGGAGGTTGCAGTGAACTGAGATCGTGCCATTGCACTCCAGCCTGGGCAACAGAGTAAGACTACATCTCAAAAAGAAAGAAAGAAAAAAGTTGCTGGAATTTTCTATATACACATAGCTTCTGAATGACAAACAATAGAACAAAAGTAAGAGGTAAGTCTGGGGAGACATCTGCCAAAAATATATACATACATGTAATACATACATACATTTAATAGATATATTTATATATGTACATGTACATATAGTTAATATATTATGTATAATACATATATACATAATACATATATATATATTAGACCTATAATGAGCTAGTCATTGTTCTCTGCTGGATTTGTACTCAAAGACAAGCACATAATTTTTCTCTCATTGAGATTTCTCTTCCAGGACTGTGTCTGGGCTACGAAGATGAGAAAAAGAATGGTGAGTTTTCTCCCACTTAAACTTTATTTATTCCTGCATCCCACACTTCATGACCTTTTCCTTTAATTGTCTGAATTCTAGACTCAAATTAACTCTGAATTCTTTCCAGAGAAACTGCCCAAACCCTCCCTCCACGCCTGGCCTAGCTCGGTGGTTGAGGCCCGGAGCAACGTGACCCTGAAGTGTCAGGCTCCTTCCAAGAATGTGACATTCATTCTGCTCAAGGAGAACGACTCTGGGTACAAGCAGGAACAGTTCTCGACAGAAAACGAAGCTGAATTCCACTTCACGGACCTGAAGCTTAAGGATGCTGGGAGCTACTTTTGTGCCTACAAGACAACAGCCTCCCATGAGTGGTCAGAAAGCAGTGAACGCTTGCAGCTGGTGATCACAGGTGAGAAGGGTAGCCTCAGATGTGCTCCTTGATGCACACATTTCTTCGGTTTTGCTTTGCTTTTTTTTTCTTTTTTTTTTTTTTTTTCAAGACAGAGTCTTGTTCTGCCACCCAGGCTGGAGTGCAGTGGCACAATCTCGGCTCACTGCAACCTCTGCCTCCTGGGTTCAAGCAATTCTTCCTGCCCCAGCCTCCCGAGTAGCTGGGACTACAGGCTCCTGCCACCACGCCCGGCTAATTTTTTGTGTTTTTAGTAGAGATGGGGTTTCACCGTGTTAGCCAGGATGGTCTCCATCTCCTGACCTCGTGATCCGCCTGCCTCAGCCTCCCAAAGTGCTGGGATTACAGGTGTGAGCCACCACGCCTGGCCTAATTTTTGTGTTTTTAATAAAGACGTGGTTGTACCATACTGGTGAGGTTGATCTCAAACTCCTGATCTCAGGTGATCCATCTGCCTTGGCCTCCCAAAGGGCTGGGATTACAAACGTGAACCACCGTGCGCGGGGTTTTTTTTTTTTTTTTTTTTTTTGAGATGGAGTCTTGCTCTGTCGCCTAGGCTGGAGTGCAGTGGCGTGATCTCAGCTCATTGCAATCTCCACCTCCTGGGTTCATGTAATTCACCTGCCTCAGCCTCCCGAGTAGCTGAAACTACAGGGGTGGACCACCACACCGGGCTAATTTTTGTATTTTAGTAGAGACAGGGTTTTACTATGTTGGTCAGGCTGATCTCGAACTGCTGACCTCAAGTGATCTGCCCACATCAGCCTCCCAAAGTGCTGGGATTACGGGAGTAAGCTACCGCGCTTGGCTGCTTTTTTTTTTTTTTTTTTTTGGACAGAATCTCGCTCTGTCGCCCAGGCAGGAGTGCAGTGGCATGAACACAATTCACTGCAGCCTCGACCTCCCAGGCTCAAGCAATTTTCCCACATCAGCCTCCCAAGTAGCTGGGAATACAGGCAAGCACCACCACGCCTGGCTAATTTTTAAATTATTTGTTGAGACAGGATCTATGTTGCCCAGGCTGGTCTTGAACTCCTGAGTTCAGGTGATCCTCCTTCCTTGGCCTCCCAAAGTGCTGGGATTACAGGCGTGAGTCACCAAAGCCTGCCTGATGCACGTATTTCTTTTACTGTTGTGGGACGTGGCTGGGGAAGAAGGAACCCAGGAGACAAAAAGATAGATGCAGGCCGGGCATGGTGCGGTGGCTCACGCCTGTAATCGGAGCACTTTGGGAGGCAGAGGTGGGTGGATCACTTGAGGTCAGGAGTTTGAGACCAGTCTGGCCAAAATGGTGAAACCTCAACTCTACTAAAAATACAAAAATTAGCTGGGTGTGGTGGCGGGCACCTGTAATCCCAGCTACTAGGGAGGCTGAAGCAGGAGGAGAATCACTTGAACCCAGTAGGCAGAGGTTGTAATGAGCCGAGATTGTGCCACTGCACTCCAGCCTGGATGAAAGAGCAAGACTCCGTCTCAAAAAAAAAAAAAAAAAAAGGATAGATGGAATACCTTCAGTGTGGAAATGGGAACCCGAACGTGGGGCAAGATTCTCATCAGGGACAGGGATTCTGAGAGGGTCCCAATGATGTGGATGTGGGAGAGTGGTGTAGAATATGGTCAGTTAATAGAAAATTAGGGTACGGTAAGACTGACAAACCAAGCGATGATTGCCATGGAAAAGAAGGTCTGTTACAGTTCCCAAGAGGAGGGGGAAGGCTATACTATGGGGGTGGGGGTATGGGGGAAGCACCAGGGTCAATCGGGCAGAGGAAGGAGGAAGAACTGTGGGCCAGAGCTTTGATTGTATTTTGTGGGGAGAACAAGATTAGAGTTGGCCAGGTGTGGTGGTTCATGCCTGTAATCCTAGCACTTTGGGAAGCCGAGGAGGGCGGATCACCCGAGGTCAGGAGTTTGACATCAGCCTGGGTAATATGGTGAAACTCCATCTCTACAAAAATACAATAATTACCTGGGTGTGGTGGTGTGCACTTGTGCTTTCAGCTACTTGGGAGACTGAGGCACGAGAATTGCTTGAACCCGGGAGGCAGAGGCTGCGGTGAGCCAAGATCGTGCTACTACATTCAAGCCTGGGTGATAGAATGAGAACCTGTCTCAAAAAAAAAAAAAAAGAAAAAAGAATTGGCTTTGGGGTATAGAGACTGTCCCTGGTTGTCTAGTTCTTGGACCTGGGGTAATTAGGAGAGGACAGCTTTCACCTTCAGTGTGAGAGCCTCATAATGAAGGTGGTTGGGAGTGAGGGCTCTGGATCTATTGGCTTGCATTTGAGGGACATATTGAGGACAAGTGGTTTACTGGCTCTAGAAATTAACTAACCCTGGGAGGGGTGGTCCCACCAAGGGCAGCAAGGCCCCAAGATGTCAAAGCATCAAATGCAGAAAATGAATACAGAGAGATGGATGAGATAGTCCCCAAGTGCAGTAGAAAATGGAAAAGCGGGCCTGACACGGTGGCTCACACTTGTAATCCCAGCACTTTGGGAAGCCGAGGCGGGCAGATCACAAGGTCAGGAGATCGAGACCATCCTGGCTAACATGGTGAAACCCCGCCTCTATTAAAAATATGTAAAAAATTAGCTGGGCGAGGTGGCAGGCGCCTGTAGTCCCATCTACTTGGGAGGCTGAGGCAGGAGAATGGCGTGAACCTGGGAGGCGGAGCTTGCAGTGAGCCGAGATCGCACCACTGCAGTCCAGCCTGGGCGACAGAGCGAGACTCTGTCAAAAAAAAGAAAGAAAGAAAGAAAGAGAGAGAGAAAGAGAAAGAAAGAAAAAGAAAGAAAGAAAGAAAGAAAGAAAGAAAGAAAGAAAGAAAGAAAAAGAGAAAGAAAGAGAGAAAGAGAAAGAAAAGAAAGAAAGAAAGAAAGAAAAAGAAAGAAAAGAAAGAGGAAAGAAAGAGGAAAGAAACACACTAACCTGCACTTGGGAAGCTTGAAAGTGGTAGATCATGTATGTCAGAGATTCAGACTATCCTGGCTAATACGGTGAAACCCCACCTGTTGGAAAATATAAAAATTAGTTACAGGTAAATGTAGTCCCACTCCACTTGGGAGGCTGAGGCAGGAGAGCCTGGCGTGAATGGATGGAGTTGCAGTGAAATGAGACTGCATCACGTGGAGTCCAGGTCGCACAGAGCTGGACTTGCTGCGAAAGAGAACGCCGTTGCGAGGCGCGTTTGCGCCGCTGCTGCTGCCGCTGCCGCCGCTGCCGCCGCCGCCGCTGGCGTTGCTGGCAGGCCAGCAGGCGCCGCCGCTGCCGCCGCCGCCGCGCCACAGCGCTGCCGCGCTGCGAAAGAAGAAAAAGAAAGAAAAGAAAGAGGAAAGAAAGAGGAAAGAAAATGGAAAAGCCCTTCTCTTTACCTCCATTGCCTTGTTCTCTTTAGGGTCACTCCCAGAACCTTTGCTCTCAGTCAATGTAGACCCAGGGATGACCCTGGGATGACTCCAGGTCTCAGGACACTTTGATGTCTCACTCCATACAATGGAACTGAATGTATTGTAATTGCTCTGCTGAAAATGGGGATCCCAGAACCATTACAAGTCAGGCAAGTAAGAAAAAAACAGACAGATGTGAATGTGACAAGTAAGAAAAAAACAGACAGATGTGAATGCTCTGGAATGTGACAAGTAATGGCAGTGGAAACTACAGCTGTGTGTATTACCTGAGTGACTCATCACACTTGGCCTCCTTCCCCAGCAACAAGTTGGAGATCTGGGTGACAGGTGAGCATAGAGTGATAACACTGGCATTTGACATGTATCCAGCATTTTCTATGTTCCTGTCTCCACGACAGGTAACTTGCTTCCACTAACTCATTCAGTCTTCACTTCCTATGAGGGTGGTTGTGTTACTAATTTTGCTTATAGAGACTAGGTGACCTCCCCGATGTCACAAAGACAATGAGCTTCACAGTTGCTGTTCAGACATAAATGAAAAATTTATATTTCTTTATGCCACAGAAGAAAAGCCAGAAAGAGTGTCCAGTGCTCTATGAGGGATGTAGGAATGGCAAATAATGGAGGATGGGGCTAAGAGATCCCATTGTGTGGGAAAATATGGCAGGCATGGTGCAGGTAACTGAAATTTAAAAATGATGAGGACCACAGTGAGAGGATGCACATGGGAGGATTGTAACATAAGTGACTTGAGATCCCAAGGAAGAGGGATAAAGAATAATTTTACATCACTTTCATCTACCCATTTATCTACCCACCAATCTGTCTATCCATCCACCTACCCATCTATCAACCCACCCACCCATCTACCCACCCATCCACCCTCCCACCCACTCATTCACCCATCCATCTACTCACTTATCCATCTATCAACTCACCCATCCATCCATCCATCCATCCTTCCATCCATCCATATATCCTTCCATCCATCTATCCTTCCATCCACCCATCCATCCTTCCATCCTTCCATCCACCCACACCTTCATCCATTCACATACCCACCCATCTAACTTTCCACCCACCCTTCCATCCATCCATTCATTCACCCCTTTGTCCATCCATTCATCCTCCCACCCATCCATCCATTCATCTATCCATTAATCCATCTAACCACCAACCCTTCCATTCATTCGTCCACTCACCCCTTCATCCATCTATCTACCCACGTACCCATCTATTTACCCAGCCACTCATTTGTCCATCCTTCCACCCACTCATCCACCCATCCACCCTTTCACCCATTCATTCACCCCCCACCCACCTATCCATATATCCATCCATCCATCCATCCATCCATCTATTCATTTATTAGTCACTCAACAATACCTCTCAACTGACTACAGTTGCTTCCAGTAGGTCAATCTGGCCATATCATGGGAAATCCCTGGAGAGACCTTATAGTCATCAGTATAGTGCAGAAGTAGCCAAGGGTCCACACCAATGACTTAGCCTGGGTTTGGGGCATGATGAGTAACTGAGTACTTCATGTTTCACCTCTGATTTACCCTCTTTCTGAGGCTCTTGATCAGTGATGCTCCAACAAGGTGCTCATCACTTTGATGTTGATTTCAAATTGTATTCCCAATAACTTTTTCTTGTAGTCTTAAGAATTTTCGTACCCACACTTTAGCCCTAAAAGCCTGGCGATTATTTGCCATTTCCCAATTATGTTCCCTGGCAGATCATCTACTATTTCCTGATTTCTTCACCTCTATCACAGCTATACCATTACATCACAAGACAGGCTATAGTATCAGTTTAAAGTGGTTGATTTTCCAGGTCAGCCTTCCATATATAATCTGTTTGCTGCTTTGCAAATCACTTGATTATACTACTTTTTACTTATTACAAAATGGGCATATAAATGCTTCTATTACAAAAAAAAATAATGCAAAATACCTGGCACAAAAATAGCTGCCTATTTAGTCTACAAATTCAGATACTTTGGTAGATCCTGAGCATATTGTAGGAACTGAGACAGACCAGGTCTCTGGCCAACAGGAGCTCACATTCTTCTTTGGAAGAAAGAAAGAAAGAACAGAAAGATATCAGAGTAATTAAAAAACACATTATAGATGGAGAATAACTGTGAGGGGCATTGTATTAGTGATATATGGCTGCATAACAAATTACCACTAATTTAGCAGCCTGAAACACCTATTTATTATCTCACAGTTGATGTGGGTCAGGAGTCCAGGCACAGCTTAGCTGAGTCCTCTGCTTTGGTTCTCATAAGGATGCAATCAAGGTGTCAACCAGGGCTGGGTTCTCATCTGGAGGCTTGATTGGGGAAGGGTCCATTTCTCCACTCCTGTGGTTGCTAGCAATATCTGGTTCTTTGCAGCTGTAGGATTAATGTTAGACTGATTCTGAAGCACTTGCAAGAAGAGAGATTGAGAGAGAGAGGAGAGAGAGAGAGAGAGCAAATGCCCTAGCAAACAGAGTTTTATGTAATGTAGCATAATCAAGAGCATAACATCCCATCACCTTTGCCATATCTGTTGGTGAGAAGAAAGTCACAGGTCTCCACACTCAAGGTGAGGGGATTAGACAAAGGCATGAACACCAGAAAGCAGGGCTCCTGAGTCTCCCGAGTGCCCCCTTAAGGTCTATCTGTCACAGGCATGAAATATGAGAATGACCCAACCACATCGATATCTGGAGAAGAGCTCTTCAGGGACAGAGAGCAGCAAAAGCAAAGTCCCAGAAGTGTGAGTGTTCCTGGAATGATTGAGACACAGAAAGGAGGACAGAGAAAAGAACAGCAGAATAAAAGGTGTGGACAGAAGGCAGGGCCTAGAGCATCTAGGGTCTTGTGGGTGTTTGAACTGGTCCTAGAGTCTGCTTTGAAAAAACAGGAACCCACTGATGAACTGGAGAATGGCATGATTTTATTTATATGCTTGAAGGGTCACTGGCTGCTTTTTTTTTTTTTTTCGAGACAGGGTCTCACTCTGTTGCCCAGGCTGGAGTGCAGTGGTGCGATCACAGCTCACTGCAGCCTTGACCTCCCAGGCCCAGGTAATCCTCCCACCTCAGCCTCCCAAGCAGCTGAGATTACAGGCATATGCCATCATGCCCGGCCTCTGGCTGCTTTTGGAAAATAAGGGATTAGATGTGGTAAGAGTTGGTGCATTTCAGGCAATATGACTTTTTAAATTTAAAAATATCAAATTGACAAATGAAGATTGTATATATTCAAGATATACAATCTGATGATTTGATCCATCTGTACATTATGTAACGATGATCACAGTCAGATTAATTAGCACATCCATTGCCACCATGCTGTGCACCTGAACTTCTTCATCTTAGAAGTGGAAATTTAGGGCTGGGCGTGGTGGCTCACGCCTGTAATCCCAGCACTTTGGGAGGCTGAGGCAGGTGGATCAGGAGGTCAGGAGATCGAGACCATCCTGGATAACACAGTGAAACCCTGTCTCTACCAAAAATACAAAAAATTACCTGGGTGCGGTGGCGGGCGCCTATAGTCCCAGCTACTCAGGAGGCTGAGGCAGGAGAATGGCGTGAACCCGGGAGGCGGAGCTTGCAGTGAGCCGAGATTGCACCACTGCACTCCAGCCTGGGCGACACAGCCAGACTCCGTCTCAAAAAAAAAAAAAAAAAACTGGAAATTTATACCTTTCATCAACATCTCCCCATACATTATGTTAAACAAAATAAGCCAGACTCAGAAAGACAAATTCTGCATGATCTCACTCACATGTGTGGCCTGAAAAAGCCAAACTCACAGAAGCAGAGAGTCTACTGGTGGTTGCCAGGGACTGGTGAGTAGGTGATACTTTATTTATTTTTATTTATTTATGTTTTTTGAGACGGAGTCTCCCTCTGTCACCCAGGCTGGAGTGCAGTGGTGCGATCTCAGCTCACTGCAAGCTCGGCCTCCCAGGTTCACGCCATTCTCCTGCCTCAGCCTCCCAAGTTGCTGGGACTACAGGCGCCTGCCACCACGCTCGGCTAATATTTGTATTTTTAGTACAGACAGGGTTTCACCATGTTATCCAGGATGATCTCAATCTCTTGACCTCGTGATCTGCCTTTCTCGGCCTCCCAAAGTGCTGGGATTATAGGCCTGAGCCACCGCACCTGACTGAGTAGGTGATATTTTAACTTAGACAAAATGGTGCCACTGGGGAGATAGAAATATAGGCCGAGTGCAGTAGCTCACGCCTGTAATCCCAGCACTTTGGGAGGCCGAGGTGGGCAGATCACCTGAGGTCAGGAGTTCGAGACCAGCCTGGCCAACATGGTGGAAACTCTGTCTAAAAATACAAAGTTAACTGGTGTGATGGCAGGTGCCTATCCAACTTCTGCCCAGAGAGCTGGAGCAGGAAATCTCTAAGCCAGGAGGCGGAGGTTGCATTGTAGGCTGTCTGTGCTCCGCTTTCCAGGCTTGACAATCTAAATTCAAAGAGAAAAAGAAGAAAGAAAGAATTTGGGTGAATGGTGTTCTTTGTTAAGATAAAGACAACTGGCGAGGAATCTCATACTGGAGGGCATTATGAGTGTCATTCATAAATACTAGCAAACTCCATGAGTATTAGGAAGAGTAATCTGAGGCTCATGTCCATGCTCTGAGGACCCAGGAAGCATCTGGGGAATGGAGAAGCCATTCTCTTTTTCTGCAACTTCCCAAAGAAGACAGGAAGTCAGTAGGTTAAGAGGACTCCTGCCTCCAAGGTTCCTATATGATTAGCATAATTCCTTTTCTTCCCTCCTATTTTCTAGATAAACACGATGAACTTGAAGCTCCCTCAGTGAAAACAGGTAAGATAATTAGAAAGGAGATGTTTTTCCCAGATCTGCTTCATAAAGGCCTTAGGATCACTTTGCTTAAAGTGCACAGGAGAACTTTATTTTTATTATTGATTGATTGATTGATTGATTGAGATGGAGACTTGCTCTGTCACCCAGGCTGGAGTGCGAGTGGTGCAGTGATCTCAGCTCACTGCAACCTTCGCCTCCTGGGTTCAAGCGATTCTCCTGCCTCAGCCTCCAGTAGCTGGGAGTACAGAGCTGCACGCCACCATGCCGGCTAATTTTTTCTATTTTTAGTAGAGATATTCCTCTGAATAACTGGGATTACAGGCACCTACCAAAACCCAGCTCTTGTTTTTTTTTTTTTTTTTTTTTAAGTAGAGATGGAGTTTCACCATGTTGGCCAGGCTGTTATCGGCTTCCTGACCTCAAGCAATTCCCTGCCTTGGCCTTCTCAAAATGTTGGGGTTACAGGTGTGAGCCACACACCCAGCCTACAGAAGAACTTTAATGCCCTTTTTCTCAATGTTATTGGGAAACTGCTGTGTTATTCGGGGTGGGGCATGAGGAGATAATCTCTAAAGTGCTTCAGTTTCTGAAAAGTTGGCGTGTAAAACAGCACAGAAATCGTCGTTTGCCATATGGCCAGTGATGAAAAAACTAGGGTGGGATTTGGGAATAATGGGGTGAATTTTTGGGTGACCCATTTGGGAGTAGGACTAAGACCTACACGCAGAGTAGGTACTTCAGGAATATGTATAAATCAAAGAGTTTGTTATAACTCTAAAATTCTCCACAATAGGTGAATATTGAATTTTTTCCCCTAATGTTGCTTATTCATTAACAATTGACTAAGATTCTATCTCAGAGGTTCTCGTAAAGATTAGAGGTCCCAAGCGGTGGCTCACGCCTGTAATCCCAGCACTTTGGGAGGCCTAGGAGGGCAGATCACCTGAGGTCAGGAGTTCGAGACCAGCCTGGCCAACATGGTGAAACTCCGTCTCTACTAAAAATACAAAAATTAGCAGGGTGTGGTGGCAGGTGCCTATAATGATCACAGCTACTTCCCGGGAGGAGCTGAGGCAGGGAGGAATCTCTTAAACCCAGGAGGCGGAGGTTGCAGTGGGCTGTCATGCCACTGCACTCCGCCAGGTGACTAATTCACTTCAAAAAAAAAAGAAAAAAAAAAAGAAAGAAAGAATTTGGGTGAATGGTGTTCTTTGTTAAGATAAAGACAACTGGCAAGGAATCATACTGGAGGGGGCGTTAGCAGTGTCATTCATAAATACTAGCAAACTCCATGGTATTAGGAAGAGGAGTAATCACGAGGCTCTGTCCATGCTCTGAGGACCCAGGAAGCATCTAGGAATGGAGAAGCCATTCTCTTTTTTCTACTTCAAAGGGACATGGGAAGTCTATAGTAGGACAAGAGGACTCCCTGCCCCCAAAGGATTCTATATGATTAGCATAATTCCTTTTCTTCCCTCCTATTTTCTAGATAAACACGATGAACTTGAAGCTCCCTCAGTGAAAACAGGTAAGATAATTAGAAAGGAGATGTTTTTTCCCATTAGATCTGCTTCATAAGACGCAGGATCACTTTTGCTTAAAGTGCACAGGAGAACTTTATTTTTTATTATTGATTGATTGATTGATTGATTGAGATGGGGGAGCTTGCTCTGTCACCCAGGCTGGAGTGCAGTGGTGCGATCTCAGCTCACTTACAACCTCGCCTCCTGGGTTCAAGCGATTCTCCTGCCTCAGCCTCCCGAATAGCTGGGAGTACAGGCACACGCCACCATGCCCGGCTAATTTTTCTATTTTTAGTAAATATTCCTCTGAATAACTGGGATTACAGGCACCTACTAAACCCAGCTCTTGTTTTTTTTTTTTAAGTAGGAGATGGGTTTCACCATGTTGGCCAGGCTGGTATCAAACTCCTAGCCTCAAGCAATTCCCCCTGCCTTGGCCTCTCAAAATGTTGGGGTTACAGGTGTGAGCCACCGCACACCCAGCAGAAAAGAACTATAATGCCCTTTTTCTCAATGTTATTGGGGAAACTGCTGTATTTTCAGGGGGTGGGGCATGAGAATAATCTCTAAAAGTGCTTCGGTTTCTGAAGAAGTTGGCGTGTAAAACAGCACAAGTGCGTCGTTTGCCATATGAAAGCGTGATGAAAAGAAAACTAGTGTTAAGATTTGGGGGAATAATGGGGTGAATTTTTTGGGTGACCCATTTGGGGAGTAGGACTACTGAACCTACGCAGAGTAGGTACTTCAGGAATATGTATAATCAAGAGTTTGTTATAACTCTAAAATTCTCCACAATAGGTGAATATTGAATTTTTTCCCCTAATGTTGCTTATTCATTAACAATTGACTAAGATTCTATCCTCAGAGGTTCTCGTAAAAATTAGAGGTCCCCAGGCGAGGTGGCTTACGCCTGTAATCCCAGCACTTTGGGAGGCCGGGGTGGGCAGGTCTCACCTGAGGTCAGGTTAAGCCAGCCTGGCCAACATGGTGAAACTCCGTCTCTACTAAAAATACAAAAGTTAGCAGGGTGTGGTGGCAGGTGCCTATAATCCCAGCTACTTGGAAGGCTGAGGCAGGAGAGTCTCCTAAACCCAGGAGGCGGAGGTTGCAGTGGGCTGAGATCATGCCACTGCACTCACCTGAGTGACTGAGTGCAAGATTGCAAAAAAAAAAGAGAAAAAAGAAAGAAAAGAAAGAATTTGGGTGAATGGTGTTCTTTGTTAAGATAAAGACAACTGGCAAGGAATCATACTGGAGGGGGCGTTAGCAGTGTCATTCATAAATACTAGCAAACTCCGCCCAAGGTATTAGGAAGAGTAATCACGAGGCTCTGTCCATGCTCTGAGGACCCAGGAAGCATCTAGGGAATGGAGAAGCCATTCTCTTTTCTGCTTCCCAAAGAGAAGACAGGAAGTCTATAAGTAGGACAATGGACTCCTGCCCCAAGGTTCCTATATGATTAGCATAATTCCTTTTCTTCCCTCCTATTTTCCAGATAAACACAATGAACTTGAAGCTCCCTCAGTGAAAACAGGTAAGATAATTAGAAAGGAGATGTTTTCCCATTAGATCTGCTTCTGGAACGCTTGGGATCACTTTTTGCTTAAAGAGACAGAACTTTATTTTTATTTATTTATTTATTTATTTATTTATTTAGATGGAGACTTGCTCTGTCACCCAGGCTGAGTGCAGTCGTTGCAGTCTCAGCTCCTACAACAACCTTCGCCTCCTGGGTTCAAGATTCTCCTCTCCAGCCTCGAATAGCTGGGACTACAGGCACACGCCACCATGCCCGGCTAATTTTTGTATTTTTAGTAGAGATATTCCTCCTGAATAACTGGGATTACAGGCACCTTACTAAACCCAGCTCTGTTTTTTTTTGAAACAGAGATGGAGCTTCACCATGTTGGCCAGGCGGGCGCCAAGGCTCCCGACCTCAAGCAATTCCCCTGCCTTGGCCTCTCAAAATGTTGGGGTTACAGGTGTGAGCCACCGCACCCAGCCTACAAGAGAACTATAATGCCTGCTCAATGTTATTGGGGAAACTGCTGTGTTTTTCAGGGTGGGGCATGAGGAGATAATCTCTAAAAAGTGCTTCCGGTTTCTGAAGAGTTTGGCGTGTAAAACCGCACAGAGTGTGTCGTTTGCCATATGGCCAGTAAATAAAAGCTAGTAGGGTGGGATTTAGGGAATAATGGGGGTGAATTTTTGGGTGACCCATTTGGGGAGTAGGACTAAGACCTACGCAGAGTGAGTACTTCAGGAATATGTATAATCAAGAGTTTGTTATAACTCTAAAATTCTCCACAATAGGTGAATATTGAATTTTTTCCCCTAATGTTGCTTATTCATTAACAATTGACTAAGATTCTATCCTCAGAGGTTCTCATAAAAATTAGAGGTCCCCTAGGCAGGCGCGGTGGCTCAAGCCTGTAATCCCAGCACTTTGGGAGGCGAGGAGCGGGATCCACGGAGTCAGGAGATGAGACATCCTGGCTGCAATGACTCTCTCCCTACTAAAAGCTCTACAAAAAAAAGCCTAGCGGCCCGGAGTGGCGGCGCCTGTAGTCCCAGCTACTCGGGAGGCAGAGGCAGGAGAATGGCGTAAACCCGGGAGGCGGAGCTTGCAGTGAGCTGAGATCTGGCCACTGCAGTGCAGCCCGGGCTACAGGCAAGACTCCGTCTCAAAAAAAAAAGATTAGAGTCCCCCAGGCCGAGGTGGCTCACGCCAATCCCAGCACTTTGGGAGGCCGAGGTGGGCAGATCACCTGAGGTCAGGAGTTCAAGGCCAGCCTGGCCAACATGGTGAAACTCCGTCTCTACTAAAAATACAAATTAGCAGGGGGTGTGGTGGCAGGTGCCTATAATCCCAGCTTCTGCCAGGAAGGCAGAGGCAGGAGAATCTCTTAAACCAGGAGGCGGGGAGGTTGCAGTGGGCTGAGATCATGCCACTGCACTCTGCCTGGGTGACAGTGCAAGATTCCAAAAGAAAAAAAGAAAGATTTGGGTGAATGGTGTTCTTTGTTAAGATAAAGACAACTGGCAAGGAATACTGGAGGGGGCGTTAGCAGTGTCATTCCTTAAATACTAGCAAACTCAGGTATTAGGAAGAGTAATCTGAGGAGCTCTGTCCATGCTCTGAGGACAGGAAGCATCTAGGGAATGGAGAAGCCATTCTCTTTCTGCTTCCCAAAGAGGGTGCCTTAGGAAGTCTATAAGTAGGACAAGAGGACTCCTGCCCCAAAGGTTCCTATATGATTAGCACAATTCCTTCTTCCCTCATTTCTAGATAAACACGATGAACTTGAAGCTCCCTCAGTGAAAACAGGTAGATAATTAGAAAGGAGATGTTTTTTCCATTAGATCTGCTTCATAGGCCTTGGGATCACTTTTTGCTTAAAAGTACACAGGAGAACTTTATTTTATTATTGAGTTGATTTGGTTGATTGATTGAGATGGAGACTGCTCTGTCACCCAGGCTGGAGTGCAGTGGTGCAGTCTCAACTTCCTTTGCGGCTGCTGCCTCCCTGCGTTCAAGGCGGGTTCTCCTGCCTCAGCATCACGAATAGCTGGGACTACAGGCACACGCCACCATGCCCGGCTAATTTTTGTACTTTGGTAGTATTTCCTCCCTGAATAACTGGGATTACAGGCACCTAGCCCAGCTCTTTTTTTTTTTTTTTTTTTTGTGGGAATGGAGTTTCACCATGTTGGCCAGGCTGGTATGAAACTCCCGACCTCAAAACATTCCCCTGCCTTGGCCTCTCAAAATATTTGAGTTACAGGTGTGAGCCACCGCACCCAGCCTGAAGAACTTTGTGCCCATTTTCTCAATGTTATTATGGGGCAACTGCTGTGTTTTCAGGGTGGGGGCATGAGGGAGATAATTTCAGAAGTGCTCGGTTTCTGGTAGGCGTGCCTTAAACAGCACAGAGTGCGTCGTTTGCCATATGGCGTGATGGCTTGCAGGGTGGGATTTGAAGGGCCTTTAATGGGGGTGAATTTTGGGTGACCCATTTCTGGGAGTAGGACTAAGAGACCTGCAGAGTAGGTATAGAGATATATGTATAATCAAAATTTGTTACATAACTCACAAAATTTACCACAACAAGTGAATATTGAATTTTTTTCCCCTAATATTTGCTTATTCATTAACAATTGACTAAGATTCTACTAGAGGTTCTCGCAAAAATTAGAGTCCCCAGGCGAGGTGGCTCACGCCTGTAATCCACAACACTTTTTGGGAGGCCGAGGTGGACGATCACCTGAGGTCAGGAGGTTCCGAGACCAGCCTGGCCAACATGTGGCTTCCATCTCACTAAAAATACAAGGCACCAGAGCACATTTGTGGTGGCGCTAATTCCTAGCTACTCAAGTGACTGAAGCCCTGGCCAACATGGTGAAACTCCATCTCTACTAAAAATACAAAAATTTGCCAGGCATTGTGGTGGGCGCCTGTATTCCTAGCTACTCAAGTGACTGAAGCAGGAGAATTGCTTGAACCTGGGAGGTAGAGGTTGCAGCGAGCCGAGTAAGACTCTGTCTCAAAAAAAAAAAAAAAAAAAAAAAAAAATTAGAGCTTTTGGCAGCATTCAGCTGAAACAGAAGCTCATCCAGACTTTAAGGGCCAAATTCAGAATATAAATTGGCATCTAGATGCTTAATCATCCTTCCTTTCAGCAAGTCACAATCTTCCTGCAACCTACTCCGAAGAGCCAAATTTGCTGAAAGTTGTTGCTAGCAGTCTGTGCTGGTATAATCGGTTTTTGAAAAGGTATCCTCCAAAGTGTTCTTGCAAGATAACTATTTGAAACGTTTTTATTCCATGATAGTAGGCTTGGGAAATGACTGCTACCCTAGCACTGTGAACACAATTCACATCAGGAACATTTTCTAAGAAAGATATGAAATCTAATGGGAGAGAGGAACACAGAAGTATCAGAAAGGAGGTGGGAGATCTAGTGAGGTGTGAGGGGGAGGAGGAAGAGAAACTTTTCTATTTTGAGTTCTTGTGTCATTTATTTTCTTTATTGATATATAATTCGCATTCCAAAAATTCACCCTTGTAAAGTGTACAATTCACTGGCATTTTGTATATTCACAAGGTAGTATAACCATCACCACTACATAATTCCAGACCATTCTCATCACCCTGAAAGAAAATCTTGTACCCATTAAGCAGTCACTCCTCATTTCCCACTCTCCCACCAGGCCCTGCCAACCATTCATATACTTCTTTGTGTCTATGATTTCGTCTATTCTGGACATTTTGTGTAAGTGGATTCATATGTGGTCCTTTGTGACTAGCTCCTTTCACTTTAGCATGATGTTTTCAAAGTTTATCCGTACTATAGCATGTATCAATGTTTCATTTCTTGTCATGGTGAAAAGCATCATACTGTATGGACAGACCACATTTTGCTTATCCATTCTTTTTTTTTTTTTCTTTGAGATGGAGTCTTGCTCTGTTGCCCAGGCTGGAGTGCAGTGGCATGATCTCAGCTCACTGCAACCTCCGCCTCCCGGGTTCAAGTGATTCTTCTGCCTCATCCTCCTGAGTAGTTGGAACTACAGGTGCCCGCCACCATGCCCAACTCATTTTTGTATTTTTAGTAGAGAAGGGGTTTCACCATGTTGGTCAGGCTGGTCTCAAACTCCTGACCTCAAGTGATCCACTTGCCTCGGCTTCCCAAAGTGCTGGGATTACAGACTTGAGCTACTGCGCCTGGCCCCATTCTTCTTTTGATGGACATTTGTGTTGTCTGTACCTCTTGGCTGAAGTGAGTAATGGTGCTTGAACACTGTGGTGGGAGTATCTGTTTGCCTCCCTGCTGTAAATTATCTTGGGTATGTACCTAGAAGTGGATTTGCTAGGACATATGGTGACTATTATGTTCAACTTTTTGAGGAACTGCCAAATCATTTTCCATTATGGCTGTATCATGTTATATTCCTTCCAGTAATCTATGTGGGTTCCAATATCTCCACATCCTTGTCAACACTTACTTTTCTTTTTTTAAATTATAGCCATCCCAGTGGGTATTATATAATTTCTTAAAATTTATTTTTTGAGTTCAAATTTGTATCACCACAATTCTAAACAGAATGAAATATCTTTGCCAGGTGCAGTGGCTCACATCTGTAATCCCAGGACTTCAGGAAGATGAGGCAGGAGGATCACTTGAGCCCAGGGGTTCAAGACCAGCCAGGGCAACCCAGTGAGATCCCATCTCTATAAAAAATACAAAAATTAGCCAGGCATGGTGGTGTGCGCCTTTAGTCCCAGCTACTTGGGAGGCTTAGGCAGGAAGATCGTTTGAGCCCACGAGGTTGAGGCTTCAGTGAACTGTGATTGTGCCACAGCACTCCAGCCTGAGTGACAGAGCGAGACCCTGTCTCAATAAATAAAATAACAGTAAAATATCTTTAAGCACAGGTATAATGTCCCCAGCCTGTATTTATATGCCTTAAACACACCAGAAAAGGACCCTATATTCAATTGCTCTGTAGAGAATGAAGATGAATTTTATCACACAAGACTCGACTTCCTTTCTGGTGCCTGTGGCTCCATTTGTGCCCCGTGTCAGGCTGTATCTTGTTGCTCAGTCTGATTCTAGTAGCATAGCAACTTACAATTTATTCTGGCAATTTGTAAATACTGATGTGAAATTTGGCCAGGATATGTGGACATCTCAGGGTGAACCCAGTCCAGCTGATTATGGGGGTCATGGGAAGATGAGAATTTTGCAATAACGTACTTCTCATTTCTAGTGAATTGCTGCGTGAAAGATACTGTAGGCTGGAAAAGGGGAGAACAGAAAGGATGAGGCAAGGCTGCTGTTTCTCTGCTTCCATCTGGGGAAACGGAAGAGTCCAGGAGCAGCTGTTCCTGCCCTGTTTTCATCAGTCCTTGGAAATGCACTGATAGAATTGTTGCTTATGGCCAGGCGTGGTGGCTCATGCCTATAATCCCAGCACTTTGGGAGGCCAAGGTGGGCGATCACCTGAGCTCAGGAGTTCGAGACCAGCCCGGCCAACATGGTGAAACCTCATCTCTACTAGAAATATAAAAAATTAGCAGGGCATGGTGGCGGGCACCTCTAATCCCAGCTCCTTGGGAGACTGAGGCAGGAGAATTGCTTGAACCCTGGAGGCAGAGATTGCAAAGCCAAGATTGAGCCACTGCACTCCAGCCAGGGTGACAAAGTGAGACTCTCTCTCAAAAAAAAAAAAAAAAAAAAAAGAATTGTTGCTTTTGAGGGATTCTCTGATTCAGCTCCACCAGAAGCAGGCCCTTAGAAAGCATTAGTGTAAAAGTGATATTTTATTTTATTATTTATTTATTTTTGAGACAGAATTTCGCTCTTGTTGCCCAGGCTGGAGTGCAGTGGCATGGTCTTGGCTCACTGCAACCTTCACCTCCCGGGTTCAAGCGATTCTCCTGCCTCAGCCTCCCGAGTAGCTGGGATTACAGGTGTGCACCACCACGCCTGGCTAATTTTGTATTTTTAGTAGAGATGGGGTTTCTCCGTGTTGGTCAGGCTGGTCTCGAACTCCCGATCTCAGGTGATCCGCCCACCTCGGCCTCCCACAGTGCTGAGATTACAGGTGTGAGCCACCGCGCCCGGCGTGAAAATGACATTCTAGGGAGTGGGGAAGAAGGGCCGGGAGGAAAAGAGATTAAACAAGAGTGGGATATCCGTGTCCCCAAGATGGTATCTTTGGCTCAATCCTGCAGAAAAAGCAGTGGAGACAGGGAAGGTCAAAGACCGGAGGCTAGGGAGCTGGGGTCTTCACAGCAGTCAGTGGCAGTTTGTTCTGGGCATGTAAATTCCAAGGCATTTGGAGCTCTCCCAGGCAGTCCCCCAAAGAAGAGATGCAAATGTTCACTTTGGAAAGGGAAAGAAGCCACAATCTAGAATGCATAAAAATGGGAAAGGGATCTGGGGAACATGGGTTGAGGAACACTGACAGAATCTGTTACAGAGAGAGATGGGTGTGGGTGGAATATTGGGTGAAAAAAAATCATCATTATACCTACAATCCCATTATCCTACACAATGAGTCAGTTTCTAGACTGAGTGCTTTAAAGCCAGGATTTTTCATCATTACCTAACTCTTCAAGTTAGGTATTATTGGCTCTCTGCCCCCTCCTTATATTTAACCAAAAAATAATGTATTCCAGAAAGGGAAGGGAACATTTACAAAGATGGGAGATGGGAGACCTAGTACTAGAACTCAAGTATGTCTTGTTTCAAACTCTCCACTCCTTTTGCTGCTCCCTGATGAGCAGCTCAGAAAGAGCCTTATTTCAGGAAGGGGGGATAAATAGATAATTAGATATGATAGACAGATGATAGGTAAGTAGGTAGATACATAGATAACTAGACATGATAGATAAGATAGATACTAGATGATAGGTAGGTAGCTAGATATGATAGATTAGATAGAGAGACAGATGATAGTTAGGTAGATAATTAGATACAATAGATAGATAACTAGATATGATAGGTTAGATAGATAAATGGATAATAGGTAAGTAGGTAGATAGATACAGATGATTAGCTAGCTAGCTAGATGATAGATAACTAGATATAGTAGATAAAATAGATAGATGTAGATCTATCATCTACAGATCCCTGTCGTTCTGGTATCCTTCAGAGAGCCCCACCCCTCCCCACTCTAAACGCCTTCCATGCCCACATCACTGCTGTTCGTTACCTGGCGTCAACGAGCTCATTGGAGTGTGTTTGAAGTTGGCTGGGCGTGGTGATCTGTACTCCCAGCTACCCTGGAGGCCGAGTGAGGAAGACCACTTGAGCCCAGGAATTCGAGTATGATTGCACCACTGCACTCCAGCCTGGGCAACAGAGTGAGACTCTGTCTCTTTAAAAAAAAAAAAAAAGAAAAAAATGTGTTTGAAGTTAAGAGCTGAGATCATGTCTGTGTTAGCCAGTTTTTTCCAGAAAAAACAGAACCAATAGAACATATATATATAAGCTGGGTGTGGTGGTTCACACCTGTAATCCTAGCACTTTGGGAGGCCGACGTGGGTGGATTACCTGAGGTCAGGAGTTCAACACCAGCCTGGTCAACATGGCGAAACCCCGTCTCTACTAAAAATACAAAAATCAGTCGGGCGTGGTGGTGGGCACCTGTAATCTCAGCTACTCAGGAGGCTGAGGCAGGAGAATTGCTTGAACCCAGGAGGCAGAGCTTGCAGCGAGCCAAGATTGCAGCTATTGCACTCCAGCCTGGATGACAAGAGTGAAACTTTGTCTCAAAAAACAAACAAACAAACCCACATACACGTGTGTGTGTGTGTGTGTATATATAGAGAGAGATTTATTTTAATGGATTGGTTCATGTGATTGTCAGGGGCTGGTAAGTCTGAAATCTGCAGGGCAGGTAGGAGATCCAAGGGAGACTTGATATTGCAGCTTGAGTCTGGAGGCCCAATTCCTTCCACCTTGGGGTACCTCAGTCTTTTCTCTTAAAGCCTTCAACTGATTGGATGAGGCCCACCCATATGACAGTGGGTCATCTGCTTTACTCAAAGTCTATTGGTTGAAATGTCCAGCTCCAAGGCAGGAGGATCCAGGCTTGGAAGCCAGGCTGTCTGGCTCCTCTTAGCATTTCTGCTCACCCCTATCAGTGCATTTCAGACAGTGATTACACAGACAGACGTGGTGGCTCACACCTGTAATCCCAGCACTTTGGGAGGCCACGGCGGGAGGATCACTTGAAGTCAGGAGTTTGAAATCAACCTGGCCAATGTAGTGAAACCCCGTCTCCACTAAATATACAAAAATTAGCTGGGCATGATAGTGCACACCTGTAATCCCAGCTACTCAGGAGGCTGAGTAGGGAGAATTGTTTGAACCAGAGAGGTGGAGGTTGCAGTGAGCCAAGATCACACTCCAGCCTGGGTGACAGAGCAAGGCTCCGTCTCAAAAAAAAAAAAAAAAAAAATATATATATATATATATATACACGCACACACACACACACATATACACACATACACACGTATGTAAAGCACTGGCTCACAATAAATGATCAATTTCATTGCTATGCACCAAACATTCCCTGGGAATTTCCTATGTGCCAAGCAGTGTTCCAGCCCTCTCTATAGGTACTGACCCACCAGCCAACAAAATAGGTACTGCTGCTGTCCTCACTTTACCGATGGGGAAACAGAAGCTTAGAGAAGATTAAGGAAATTCCCCAAAGCAATAGGAAGTTTCAGCTCCGAGGTGGGAGATCCAGGCTTGGAAGCCAGGCCGTCTGTCTGGCTCCTCTTAGCTTTTCTGCTTACCCCTATCGGTGGATTTCAGGAGCCAGGCTGATTCCTTGACCTGCTCTTCCCCCTCCAGACACCAGAACCATCTTTGTTGCCATCTTCAGCTGCATCTCCATCCTTCTTCTCTTCCTCTCAGTCTTCATCATCTACAGATGCAGCCAGCACGGTGAGCTCAGAGAACGCAAAGGGAGAGAGGGGGAGTGAAGGATTTTCTCGGTAGGTAAATTCCTCCTGCATTTTTTGTAGGTTCTTCGCCTGAAGAATCCACCAAAAGGTAGATGCTTGGCATAGCTCATGCTCCCCTTAATTCCCATGTCATTCTCCAGGGAACCCATTGGCACATTTGGGATTGGTACTCTGAGCCCCGACCCCAGCCCATTCTGTGACCTCCCTCCACTCCCCTCCTCTCCCCTCCATTGCCCTCACCCTCTCCCCGAAATCTTCATATCCCATCCTTTCACGTGTCTCTCTCTCTCTCAGAATCAGCCATTCCAAACTTTCGGAGCAGGAGGCTGCTGGTAAGGGACAGGGAAAATGTAAGGGAATCACCAGATAGAAAGACTAAGTTCTGACTCCTACAGCTGAAAACTGATTTTCTTTTTTTTCTCTCTCACTCAGAGGCAGATTTATCCAGGATGGAAAGGGTATCTGTCTCGGTGAGTCCTCCCGCTTAGGAGTCCCACAAGAGCTCCCTCACCACAACGGGCTGGTTGTGTCTGCCTCCTGGTTAAGCCCATACAGAAACGTCTACTATTTATCACCCGTGTGGTCTTAGACAACTCCCCAAAGGGGAACCAAAATCTCTATTTAAAAGGCATATGCACAGGGCCGGGTGTGGTGGCTCACGCCTGTAATCCCAGCATTTTGGGAGGCCGAGGCAGGCAGATCACAAGGTCAGGAGATCGAGACCACCCTGGCTAACACAGTGAAACCTCATCTCTACTAAAGATACAAACAATTAGCTGGGCGTGGTGGCGGGCGCCCGTAATCCCAGCTACTTGGGATTCCGAGCCAGGAAAATGACTTGAACCCGGGAGGCGGAGGTTACAGTGAGCCGAGATCACGGCACTGCACTCCAGCCTGGGCAACAGAGCGAGATTCTGTCTCAAATAGATAAATAAATAAAAATAAAAATAAAAAAATAAAAGTCTTACGCAGATCCATTGATGTCACACACATAAAGGGCTATAAAAACAGAAAAGAAAAAGACATGCATGTGGTGTGACCAAGGACCTGGATTTTGAATTTAATTTAATTGTAATTAATTTAAATGTCAATAGCCACGTGTGGCTAGTGGCTGCCATATTGACCACTCAGTTCTAATATTCATCTATTTTCTCCAAAGACGGCAGACCCCCAAGGAGTGACGTATGCTGAGCTAAACATCAATGCCCTGTCTGAGGCAGTTTCTGACACCACCCAGGAGCCCCCAGGATCTCATGAATATGCGGCAGTGAATGTGTAGCAAGAAGACAGCCCGGGCCACTAAAGGAGGGGGGATCGTGCTGGCCAAGGTTATCAGAAACGTGGAGATGCGGATGACTCTGTGTCCCTTGCTCCTCATCCGTATCAATAAAATTAAGTTTCTCATCTTAAAAAGAAATCTGACTTATTTATGGATTATTCATGCCCAAGAACCCCACCATCCTCTTTCTACCCCGCATTTCCTCCTAGAACAATTCAAGGAAATAATAAATAATTATTGATCAGCTATCCAGCAAAGAATGTAAGAATCATGGAGCATCTCCTGGAAGCACAACAAGCGAAAAAGAAAACGGCCAGGCTCAGGCCTGTCATCCCGGCACTTTGGGAGGCCGAGGCGGGTGGATCATCTGAGGTCAGAGTTCATGACCAGCCTGACCAACATGGTGAAATCCCATCTCTACTAAAAATATAAAATTAGCGGGACATGGTGGTGGGCGCCCGTAATCCCAGCTACTTGGGAGGCTGAGGCAAGAGAATTGCTTGAACCCAGGAGGCAGAGGTTACAGTGAGCTGAGATGACACCATTGTACTCCAACCTGGGCAACAGAGTGAGATTCATCTCAAAAAACAAACACCCCCAGACCTGCAAACTCCTAGACCAGAGAGCAGAAAACAAAAGGACTAGAGAGTAACATTTCCAGCTTTCTGGGCTGTAGGATCTCTGCTGAGACTACCCCATTCTGCTGTAGTACCATGAAAGCAGCCATCTTTGATATGTAAACAAGTAGATGTGGCGGTGTTCGAATAAAACTTTATTTACAACCTCATGTTCTCATTCATGTGGGAGCTAAAAAACTGGCTCTTATGAAGGTAAAGAGAGAGAGTTATCACAGGCTAGAAGGGGTGGGTTAGTTAATGGGCACAAACACAGTGAAACAGAAGGAACAAGTTCAAGTGTTCAACAGCACAGAAGGGTGACCATAGTTAACAACAGTACATTGTATATTTCAAAATAGCTAGAAGAGATGATTTGAAACTTTCCCAACACAAATGATAAATGAGCCGGGTGCAGTGGCTCACTCCTGTAATCTCAACACTTTGGGAGGCCAAGACGGGTGGATCACCTGAGGTCAGGAGTTTAAGACCAACCTGGCCAACATGGTGAAACCCCGTCTCTACTAAAAATACAAAAATTAATTGGGTGTGGTGGCGCATGCCTGTAATCCCAGCTACTTGGGAGACTGAGGCAGAAGAATCACTTGAACCCAGGAGGTGGAGGTTGCAGTGAGCCAAAATCACACCACTGCACTCCAACCTGTGCAACAGAGACTCTGTCTCAAAAGGAAAAAAAAAGATAAATGTTTGAGGTAGCAGAATATCCTAAATACCCTGATTTGAGTATTATACATTCTGTGCATGTATCAAACTGTTACATGTATGTCATAAATATGCATAAATATTATGTATCTATAGAAAGTTTTTTTTTTTTTTTTTTTTTTTAGATGGAGTCTTGCTCTGTCGCCCAGGCGCCAGAGTGCGGTGGCGTGATCTCAGCTCGCTGCAACCTCCCCCGGCAGGTTCAAATGATTCTCCTGTCTCAGCCTTCCGAGTAGCTGGGATTACAGGCGTCTGCCACCACGCCCAGCTAATTTTTTCGTATTTTTAGTAGTGATGGGGTTTCACCATGTTGGCCAGGCTGGTCTCAAGCTCCTGACTGCAAGTGATCCACCCACCTCAGCCTCCCAAAGAGCTGGAATTACAGGCGGGAGCCACTGTGCCCAGCCCAGAAAGTTATTTTAAAAACAAAACATTTTGTTTTCAAAAACAAGCTGTGGGCTGTAGTGTTCCAACCCTTGTGCGAGGCCAGTGCTTTTAAAAGTCTGCTTGGGCCATCACCCCAACCACTTCTGGCCCTGATGAGGGTCCAGGGCATGAGAGGGAGGAGGGAGCGTCTTAGTCCATCCAGGCTGCTATCAACGTACCAAAGACCAGGCAGCTTCCAGACAACACATAGTTATTTCTCACCGTTCTGAAGGCTTCAAGTCCAAGACCAAAGCGCTGGTAGATTCAGTCTGCTGAGGGCTTTTTCCTGGTTCATAGCTGGCACCTTCTTGCTGTGTCCTCACGTAGTGAAAGAGACTGGGCAGGGCGCAGTGGCTCACGCCTGTAATCTCAGCAATTTGGGAGGTCGAAGCGGGGAGGATCAACTGAGGTCAGAAGTTCCAGCCTGAATGACAGAGACTCCTGCTCAAAAATAAAATTTAAAAAAAGTGAAGGCTTAATAAACAAAAGAAAGAGAAAAGAGAATAGCTCTCACTCGTACAGATAGAGAGGGGCTCCCGAGTGGGACCCCTGGTTTCGTGGTGAAATGCATGGGGTTTGATAGACAAGCTTGAGCAGGTGGTGTCTGATTTACATAGGGCCTGAGAGATTAATCGGACCAGGTGTGACGTTTGCACAGCCCACGAAGAAGCTGGCTATCCCACCCTAATCTTTTATTATGTAGGTGGGGTCTCTGCCTGGCTGGGACTACATTGCCTGCTTTTTTACTGCACATGTGGGGACAAACAAAAGGGAAGAGGGAACCTCCATGTTGAATATACCCGGCCTCCAGGCATCCCTTTTCTATTGGCACAGATGCCAGCATTTACCTATGCAAGCTTTTAGCTTGCTTGTCTAGGCCTGCACCTTGATGTTTCGGGCTGCTTTCTGTTAGAAAAGAAATGATTTGGGGACGGCTCTTTATTCACAGGAGACCTTAGGAGGGCTCTCTTACCCTCACTGTCTGCCTAAATCATTTCTTTTTAGCTCCCGTATTACAAATACCATCACCTTGGGGTTAAGTTCCAACAGCTGAATTTTGTCGGGACACAAACATTGAATTTACAATACCCATGAAACTGTCTCCGCTTGTATCTTGTCCTAACCAGAAGCTCCCAGGAATATTGCATCTGAAGGAACAACTTTGATAAGGCCTGTGTCTGCGTCCCCACCCACATCTCATCTTCAATGGTAGCTCCTATAATTCCCATGTGTTGTGGGATGGACCCAGTGGGAGATAATTCAATCATGGGGGCGGATTCCTGTAGGGCCCAGCCCTAAGGGGCTTTGCAGGTGTTCTCCTCATGTGTGGAGACGAGAGATTGTAAGAAATAAAGATACAAGACAAAGAGATAAAGAGAAAGCAGCTGGGCCGTGGGGACCACTACCACCAAGACGCGGAGACTGGTAGTGGCCCCGAACGGCTGGACGCGCTGATATTTATCGCATACAAGACAAGGGGGCGGGGTAAGGAGGGTGACATGTCCAGGTGATTAATAAGGTGAAGCAAATCATGTGATCATGGGACAGGGGGCCCTTCCCTTACAGGTAGCCGAAGCAGAGACAGCAGGCAGCATACGTCAATATTTTCTTCTATGCACTTGTAAGAAAGGTCAAAGACTTTAAGACTCTCACTATTTCTTCTACCGCTATCTACTACGAACTTCAAAGAGGAACCAGGGGTATGGGAGGAGCATGAAAGTGGACAAAGAGCGTGACTACTGAAGCACAGCACCACAGGGAGGGTTTAGGCCTCCGGATGATTGTGGACAGGCCTGGATAATATCCAGCCTTCCACAAGAAGCTGGTGGAGCAGAGCGTTCCCTGACTCCTCCAAGGAAAGGAGACTCCCTTTCGCGGTCTGCTAAGTAACAGGTGCCTTCCCAGACACTGGCGCTACCGCTTCACCAAGGAGCCCTCAAGCAGCCCTTATGCGGGTGTGACAGAGGGCTCACCTCTTGCCTTCTAGGTCACTTCTCACAATGTCCCTTCAGCACCTGACCCTATACCCACCCGTTATTCCTAGGTTATATTAGCAATGCAACAAAGAGTAATATTAAAAGCTAATGATCAATAATGTTTATAATAATGATTGATAATGTCCACAATCACCTCTATATCTAATTTGTATTATGACTACTCTTATTCCAACTATTTTCTTTATTATACTGAAACAGTTTGTGCCTTCAGTCTCTTGCCTGGGCACCTGGGCCATCCTCCGCCCACAGATTCCCCCATGCTATTCTCGCGGTAGTGAACAAGTCTCACAAGAGCTGACGTCTCTCTAAGGGGTTTCCCCTTTTGCGTGGCTCTCTCATTTCTCTCTCATCTGCCACCATGTAAGATGTGCCTTTCACCTTCCACCATGATTGTGAGGCCTCCCCAGCCATGTGGAACTGGGAGTCCATTATACCTCTTTTTTTTAAAAAATAAATTATCCAGTCTCAGGTATGTCTTTATCAGCAATGTGAAAACGGACTAATGCAAACCTCTTTGCTCCCCTCCCCTCACTACACAGCCCCAGGTTGCCGTGTAGAAGCCACATGGGGAGTAGCAAGGTGGGGGAGGAGTGTCTCTCTGTTTTCTTGCCACAGTCATTCTTTTTAAAGCTTGGGAGTTCTTGGTGACCATCTGTCTCACCATGTGGAGGAAGCCAGTCTTTATGGAGAAACACAAAGATGATTCAGGGAGCATCCGGGAAGCGGGAGTGAGTAACAGGGCTTTCAGCTTTTGTTTTCTTGGTTCTAATTGCTTCCAAAGCTCAGCATTCCTTCACTCCCTGCAGTGTTCTCGCTCAATCATTCTTGAACCCCCCCCAAAAAAAACCAAAAACCAAAAAGTCCTCCTTTGATTCTCAGCTATTCTGAGAATGGATTTTGTTTTGATTGAAGAGTCCTGGCAAACAGTATTAAAATGGGTGACCCTAATGGATATCCTTTATGGACATCTATGCTGGGAGTCACACTCATTGAATTACCATAGTGAGGACTCAGCTCTGATTTTTTTTTTTTTTTTTTAAATCTTGCCCAGATTCTTCTCTAAGGGGTCTGGGGACTCATGCCCTACAAACCATAAATTCTCATCAGATGGGTTTTATTTAGCCCTATATATCGTGACGTACTTTACAATCTGACTCTGGCATAACATGACCTAACAAAGAAGAAAATAAAAATATTTTACCCCAAACCATGTTTCTTTGCCATATTTTTTTTTTTTTTTTTTTTTTTTTTGAGAGGGAGTCTCGCGCTGTCGTCCAGACTGGAGTGCAGTGGCCGGATCTCAGCTCACTTCAAGCTCCGCCTCCCGGGTTTGCGCCATTCTCCTGCCTCAGCCTCCCGAGTAGCTGGGACTACAGGCGCCGCCACCTCGCCCGGCTAGTTTTTTGTATTTTTTTTAGTAGAGACGGGGTTTCACTGTGTTAGCCAGGATGGTCTCGATCTCCTGACCTCGTGATCCGCCCGTCTCGGCCTCCCAAAGTGCTGGGATTACAGGCTTGAGCCACCGCGCCCGGCCTCTTTGCCATATTTTTAAATGACCCTACAAAGCTGTCCTTTGTTGGGGGGATCATTTGCATACGTAAAGGATCTCTGTTAACCTCGCTCATCTTTTTCCTCCAGGACCTCCCAATCCTGAGGAGAGTAACTGAGAATCTAGCACCTTTGGAAGGCCTGAGTAGGAAACATCTGTCATCTATTATCTCTAAGGGCAGCCGCTATAAGACTTCAACAGAACCTTGGTCTCCACAGTCTTTTATCTTACCTTGAATATTTTCTGTCTATTAATCCCAGGTCTTTAGACAAACTCAACCAATTGTCAATCAGACAATGTTTTAATTTACCTGAAGCCTGGAAGCCCCCGTCTCCTTCAAATTGTCCAGGCTTTCTGGACCAAACCAATGTATTTCTCAAAAGTGTTTGATTGATGTTTCATGCCTCCCTAAAATGTATAAAACCAAGATGCCCCCCGACCACCTTGGGTACATGTTCTCAGGACCTCCTGAGGACTGTGTCATGGGCCACGGTCATTATCATATTTGGCTCAGAATAAATCTCTTCCAATATTTTATAGAGTTTGATTCTTCTTGTCGACAAGAGTAAGTCTTGATATGTGATTGTTTTCTTTTGGTTAGTATTTGCATTATGTATCTTTTCTGTGTTCATTTTCTTTCTTTCTTTTCTTTTCTTTTTTTTTTTTTTTTTGAGATAGAGTCTCACTCTGTTGCCCAGGCTGGAGTACAGTGGCATGATCTCAGCTCACTGCAACCTCTGCCTTCCAAGTTCAAGCAATTCTCCTGCCTCAGTCTCCTAAGTAGCTGGGATTACAGGCATGCACCACTATGCCCAGCTAATTTTTGTATTTTTAGTAGAGATGGGGTTTCACCATGTTGGTGAGGCTGGTCTCGAACTCCTGACCTCAAGCGATCCACCTGCCTCAGCCTCCCAAAGTGCTGGGATTACAAGCGTAAGCCACCACGCCCTGCCTATTCATTTACTTTCAACCTTTCCACGCCTTTGTGTCTCTTGGAAACAAAACATTAATTGTTTTAGTTCAACCAAACGTTTTCTTCTAACCTGATCCTTTAGTTCATTCACATATAATATTTGTTATTTTCAACGAGTACAACATTCTAGGTTGGGAAGTTGTTTCCTTTCCGTATATCGAAGCCATAATACACTGTTTACTATTTTTGGTGGTTATTTTGATGCTCTAGATCCATGGTCCCCAACCTTTTTGGCACCAGGGGCTGATTTTGTGGAAGACGTGGAGGGGTACGTGGATGTTTTAGGGATAAAACTGTTCCATCTCAGATCATCAGGCATCAGAGTCTCATAAGGAGTGCACAAACTAGATCCCTTGCATGTGCGGTTCACAGTAGGGTTCACGCCCCTATGAGAACCTAATGCCGCCACTGATCTGAGAGAGGCAGAGCCCAGGTGGTAATGTGAGCAATGGGGAGTGGCTGTAAATACAGATGAAGCTTCGCTCACTCACCCCCCACTCACCTCCTGCTGTGCAGCCTGGTTCCTAATAGGCCACGGACCCGGGTAACCCTGCTCTATATAACTGCTATTTCTTTGAATGGTATCTGTCTTTTTCCCTTGGGCTGCTTTACTCTTTTGTCATTGTTTTGGATTTTTTTCTTTTTTTTGGGATGGAGTTTCACTCTTGTTGCCCAGGCTGGAGTGCGATGTTAAAGATCTTGACTCACCACAACCTCCACCTCCCGGGTTCAAGCGATTCTCCTGCCTCACCTCCTAAGTAGCTATGGGCAGCCATAGGTGGTCCCAGAAAAGGCACCACAAGTCCCTACTCCAGGTCTGCGGAAGTGGAACCGGCAGCCCGGCCCCCAGCTTTCAGGCCCTCCCTGGCCTGAAGGTGGGGCCTTATTGGGAACCCACCCCCTTCTGCCCAGGAACCTGTCT